ATCTTTATCACTTCACTTTTATAAATCTTGCACGTAAGATTTTCTTAGAAACAATGAAAGCACAAAAGAAAATAAAACAAAAATTAAAAGAAAAAACCAACAGATTCGTACGTTTCATTTGTGTCGCAACGACTGATCGATACCATTAAGTTACGTCGCCTTACATTGACGTTACTTTGATGTTATCCTTATTCCTCCTCTATGTGAACTTCCATACCACTATCCTCAAAGAAAAAGTGTACAAATGAATCTACTAGCGCACTATACTGCTTCGTCTCGTGACAACGAAAGGTATTACGGAGATAGATAACAAAAAAAATTTTAATGTGCGCGTGTCTAAGTCTAAATTTCATATGAAAAAAAAAATATATATATATATATGATATAATTTATTTATATATTATATATTTATATATTAATATAAATAAATATATAATGTAATATAATTTATTTATATATTATATATTTATATAATAATTTATATAAATTTATATAAATAAATTTATATTTATTATCTCTGGCCATTATCATTCGTCACGAGGTAGAGCCAGTAATATGTGCGCAAAATATTGATATTTTTTTATTCGTCACGTCGAACAATATTTATCGATGTTACCGGTAAGATGGGGTCTGTATCAAATAGATCGTAGATAATCTTTTCTAAACAAATTTCATTTAGATCTAGATAAGATCGTGTTTTCTTCTCGATTTTGGAATGTCACAATATTTCATAAACATTTACACCCTTTTCTATTCTAAAAAGAAATCTTCTCTTCATTGCACAGTAGATATCAAAAAGAAGTAAGATGAAACGATCTTACTGTTAAGTAGATCTTCAGGATCGAATATTTTTGAAGAATTTGATTGCACGATTTTAATATTTTCACTTGAGTAATGCATTTCCACGGTTTCTTATGTCAATGATCGTAGACATTCGATAGTTAGAGTAATAGGACAAAGCATGAATCTTTTTTTCTTTTCACTGACATGTTTCTTCTTTTTTTCTAGAGATGTGAATTAGCAAGATGCACTGACATGCTTTTATATATAACGTGAAAGATAAAAAAAAAGAAAAAAGAAATAGCTCGTTCATTTCAGGGTAGATACATACGAACGATTCTTGCCTATAGTTTAACTAAACAATTTCGAATACATTAATCACGATGTGTACTCAAGTAACCGATTAACACCTTTCAAATAGATCAGATCTTTGATACACGACAGTTACATAGGATTTTTACGAGTGCATGGCATTTTTTTTATTTTTCTGTATTTTTTTTTATATTATTTATATATATAGATCGACGAGTGCACGAAAAATTTTCATTAGAAATTTTTCAATCAATTCAGGCACTGCCTCTGATATTTCAAATGTTTTTTCTTTTATTTTTTTTTCCTACCACTCTCTCCATCATTTCCATTTTCCTATATCCATAGCTTCCTGTCAAATCTAAAAAAATGTTCTAATATTAATTCTTTATATCGTGACAGGTCTGGTACTCAGCGATATAATCGAGAAATACTTTGTATCTCCGACCTTGCTTCGAGTTGTGAGAGTGGCGAAGGTCGGTCGTGTGCTACGTCTTGTGAAGGGTGCAAAGGGCATCCGTACTTTATTATTCGCTCTCGCGATGTCCTTGCCTGCTCTATTCAACATTTGCCTACTGCTGTTCCTCGTAATGTTCATCTTCGCTATCTTTGGAATGTCCTTCTTCATGCACGTTAAGGACAAGAGCGGTCTGGATGATGTATATAACTTTAAGACATTCGGGCAGTCGATGATTCTGCTATTCCAGGTGAGTGAATGTAATCGTAGACAAAACGAAAAGAAAAAAAAAGAAACAGAAAAAACGAAAGAAAAAATTTATTTATCGATCTGATAAAAAAAAGGAACTGGTCATTAATTTAAACCATATATTTACAAACAGATGTCAACGTCCGCCGGTTGGGACGGCGTTCTGGATGGCATAATAAATGAAGAGGATTGTCAGGAGCCGAACAACGAGATCGGTTATCCAGGCAATTGTGGTTCGTCGACGATCGGCATTGCCTATCTCCTGTCGTACCTGGTGATAAGTTTCTTGATCGTGATAAACATGTACATCGCAGTTATCTTGGAGAATTACTCTCAAGCAACGGAGGACGTACAGGAGGGTCTTACGGACGATGATTACGACATGTATTATGAGATTTGGCAACAATTCGATCCGAAGGGTACACAGTACATTAGATACGATCAGCTTTCAGACTTCTTAGACGTTTTGGAGCCACCATTGCAGATACACAAGCCGAACAAGTATAAGATCGTGTCAATGGATATACCGATATGTAAGGGTGACCTTATGTTTTGTGTCGATATACTCGACGCCCTTACGAAAGACTTCTTCGCGCGTAAGGGCAATCCGATCGAAGAAACCGGCGAATTGGGCGAAGTTCAAACTCGTCCAGGTGAGACCGGTTACGAGCCGGTTTCGTCTACTCTTTGGCGTCAACGCGAGGAATATTGCGCGCGGCTTATCCAGAATGCCTGGAGAAAGCACAAACAGCAACGTCTCGGTGGACCGAGCGAGGAAAGCGACGATCCAGATACGGATCCGCGTGTACGACAGACCGCTGTCCTCGTCGAGAGCGATGGGTTCGTCACGAAGAATGGCCATCGCGTTGTCATTCATAGTCGATCGCCAAGCGTCACATCGAGAACAGCCGACGTCTGATCATTGTCGTCGAGAAACTCGCCGAAATCCTATGAAATTATCAACCGAGCTGCTCCTCGCTAGCAACAACGCAATTGTCGCCATTGCCGTCGCCATCGCCATCGCCGTCGCCGTCGCCGTCGCCGTCGCCGTCGCCGTCGCCGTCGCCGTCGCCGTCGCCGTCGTCGTTAACGTCGTCGTCATTCCTGCCATCGTCATTAATCCTGCCATTGTCATCGCAAAAACTAAAAAAAGAAGAAGAAGAAGAAAAGGAATAAGTCGAAGCAACGTTACGAACAACACTATCCTCCTCTTTGTCGTCGTCGTCGTCGTCGTCGTCGTCGTCGTCGTCGTCGTCGTCGTCGTCGTCGTCGTTATCGTTGTCGTTATCGAAAGCCTGCGATGATCGATCTCGCGCTTACCATCCAAAAAAGACACTCCTAATACGCGATTGTACATTAACCATTCCTTCTCCAACGAGTTGCCTTCAATCGACCTTAAAGCGAAGCGACGAAGAGGAAGAAGAAGAATAAGAAAATGAAGAAGAAAACAAAGAAAAGAAGGAGAGGACGAGACGAGTCGGACTTCGGGGCCCGCTTCCCCCGACAAAAATCGTGGCACGGGGCCCGGCTCGAGCTACCAACCCCCTTCTTCTATATATATATATATATATATATATATATATGTATGTATATATATATTTAAATATATATATAAATATACATATATATGTGTGCGTGTATGTGTATGTGTGTGTGTGTGTGCGTGTGTGTGCGTTAGTCATGTGACCGAGGACGATGATCGATGGCAAGATGGCGCGCGGCCCACGTGCCTCGAGTCGAGGACGACCCACGCGTCGTATATATATCGTATATATATATATATATATATATATATATATATAAACACACACATATATATATTCATCTATATATATATATATATATTCATCTATATATATATATATTCATATATATATATATACACACACCACTAGCTCGATTTCCGCGATTACTACCTGCCGTTTGGATTTTTTACAACGTTTTACAGGAGGTCGGCCAGCAGCTCGAACGTGGAATGAGACCGTGCTGCCAGAAAAGCGCGCGGCGACGACGACGTGATTGGACGAAGAGGACGAATAGAAGGAGAGAAAGAGAAAAGAGAGAGAGAAAGAGAGAGAGAGAGAGAGAAAAAGAGAGAGAGAGAGAGAGAAGGAGAGAAAGAGGAATGAAAAAAATAAGATGGCTGCAAGAAAAAGAAGTGGAGTCGCGTGTAACTAACGATCCAGCCTTCTCCGTTTTCTACGATCGTAATCTACATGGCTGCTTTGCGCGCTCGCAAAACTCGCAACCATTTTATTCTGTACGTCACTCTTCTACATCATCCCATCGTCATCGTCATCATCCTCGTTGCCTACGCTCGTCCTTTCCTTTTTTTTCCTCTTCTCTGCCTTTCTCTTTGCGTCGCTTATTGTGACGACACACATTCTAGATATATTAATCACATGAAAATATACATGTAACAGGGATCGTAATATGTCCGAGAACAAATATCAGCATCATCGGTGTGTCACTGATTTTATTAACATATATGGTAACTATGAAACAAATTATGTCGCTTAATGTAATCATTACTTTTCGGATTCTTTTCGAGAAGATATAAATAGATATATTTGATTAGTTACTATATATATTCAAAAAAAAATGAAAAAAAGAACAGAAGAAAAATAGAAGAAGAAAAGAATGAAATTATACACATACATATAAAATTACGATTCCTGAATACATATACTATCACATACAGACACACGGGTACATAGCGTTTCTACTACCCCCGTCCTTCCTCCGTGTTTAAGGAGGTTCGATTCTATTCATGTTCGCGCAACGAAAAGGCAGAGATTTGAGAAAACAAAAAGGAGAAAGAGAGAGAGAGAGGAGAGAGTTGGCACGAGTTTCAAACAACACAAAAGAAAAATAAATAAATAAATAAATAAATAAATAAATGAAAAAAAATTTAAGAGAAAACGCGGTTCATCCTCGGCTAAAAGGTATTCGCACGCTTCTCGCGAGAAAACGAAAAGGAAAAAATACTTTCACGCACGCTCTTGCGACACGAAACTTAACAAACGAATAATAAATGAAAAAGAAAAAAGAGACAAAAATACAAGAAACAAAACAAAACATAACATAACATAAAATAATAAGACAGAACAAAACAAAACAAAACAAAACAAAACAAAACATAACATAACATAACATAACAAACAAACAAACAAACAAATAAACAAATAAACAAACAAACAAACAA